CCTCGGGCATCGCACGGCCGCAGCCGCCATTGACTTGGACGCGACGGGAACGACAGCGCCCGGGATCCTGCTCTCGCGCCCTGAGGGCCGTCCCTATGCGCGACGCTCTCCCGCCGCTCCCGCGCGCCGGCTCCGCACAGAACCGGCGGCTGTGTTCGGAGGGGCAGACGAGCACGCGCGACGCAGAATTGCGGAAGAACGCTCCCCGCGTTGGGGGGAGCCTCCCGCCCCATAAATAGGCGCTGGAGGCGGCCACCGCCCCGCCCCGCCCGGGCGGCCCCGCCGGCGGCGCGGGGCTCCCCTGGCGCCGGGCCAGGAGGCACCGGCGACGCAGTGCGGACACAGTGCGCGTGCGCGGCGACGAGGGCTTCCCCGCAGTGCGGGGGGCGGTGCCGGGAGCGGGGGCTCCGGGGGGCCCCATCCGGGCTCGCCGCGGCTCCGCTGTCTGACGCGGGGGCTCTGAGCCACAGCGGTCCTTTTATGTCATTGATTACTTCTTGCTATCTGGTAACCATTTCTGAAATAACTTTTCATTTTCATTCACTTTTCTTTGTCTAAACGTTGTATTCTCGCTCAAATTTTACAAACTATTTTCTTCAGTGCCAGGAAATTATTCCTGGGTTTTGAGACTCCAGTCGTAATACTGAATGTATCTGTTTTCTGCTTACTCATACTAACTGCAATCAGGTCATGATCCCCAAGTAACCATGGAAGACCAGCTCCTGCAGGTAAATTACTTGTCTCCCCTTGATACAACAAGGCCATTCATCTAAGGAGTACGTTATGGAGTACATTGAAACAAACAAACAGTCACATCTTTAATTTTAGTAATCTTAAGTATTGGCGGCATGAGACGTCCTGAATTGGGCTCAATGGCAATACCAGATGCAAATTTCGCAGAAAGACCAAACGAGCTGAGACCTTTCAGTCTACAAGCACTACCTTGAGCCAAGTGCCCATTGCAATATGATGCCATCACCCATGACCACGCAGCCCCATTTTCTATTTGCTACAGATACAAGGTTAAAGAACAATTTATTCCTTTTTGTTTGCTTGACATAGTTCACTGTAGTAGACCTTGCAGGCAAGTAACTGGTAGCGCTTTTTTCTTTGATAGGGTGAACAGTTTGGGATCCAGCTTTTCTATCTACGTTGCTCTTCCTGAATGAGTGATACTTGTGAGTTTAGCATTCTTTAAATACAGGAAGAACATCTCCATTGTAAGTGGTATACAGAACTGAAATTAGGAAGAAAAATACAGTTCAGTAGACGGCTGTGTTTAGTCAGTTCTATTATTAAGGAATTTCAACATTGGTTCATCTTGTCCCTGACAGTTGGGGAAAAAAGAAAAAAGAAGCTTGTTTATTTATTCTACTAGGAGATGAACAGAAAATGCGGGTGGGTGTCACATGATCTGAGTTTCTCTGGCTGAAAATTAAACATCTTGAGTAACTCAGTTATTTGAGGTTGTTGCTATCATCAATGGAGCAACGCAGGCCTTGCAAAAGCCAGTTCATCCTAGCTCATTTATATACCTGCCTTGAATAGAGCTGGATTCCTCTATGTAGACTTGTCTCACAGATAACTACAGAAAAATTCTGCATTTTTTCCTGCATCCATATGCAATCTTTTTGATGGTTAAAAATTATCTGAGAATTAATCCTGGGTTTTCTTTTGCTTGCTTTCTTAGTAGAAGCTGATACAAACTATTTTATACTCAGCTCCAGTGTAACTATCAATGTTTCATTTTTTAACTGGTTTTTCATTCAAACTAATTTGTTGCGTTATTTTGCTAGTAAAAATATCACGGTGCCTTTAGAAAATACGTTTCCACACAACCACAGCTTTGTCTATCAGTTTCATAACTGCTGCTATGCCATGTAGCTTACTTCCAGGTCTTGCCAAAATGTAGTGCGACTAAAGTGGTCGCTGTTACTTTGGCACTGGATATAACTGAGTTCAACTTTTAATGCAAGAAAAGTTAATCAGCTTTCATATCTTTGCAATTTGTTTAGTATTCTAATATAAATTTTAGGTTTAATTAGACGCACTTTTCACTTTATTCACAAACAGTTTCCATGTGTCTGGAATGCCCATTGACTTCTGGCAAAATTCAGTAATTTTCTTTCAGAGATGTTGGTTTTGCCTGGATGTGTAATAATAACAGCAGCAGTCATAATTTCTCTAGGGCTCTCACTAATTGTTCAAATGCACTTGCCTTCGATTGCCTTTCTCCCAAACCTAAAATTGCCTCATTCTGTTCCCTTCTCTATTTCCCCTGAGTACTGCTTTTAATATTCCAGACTGTAAAACAAGTTTACATAGATATCCCTTTAGAAAGTTTCATTATTCTATAATTTCATCATTTTCTATTTATTATGTTGTATTATTCTATAAGCCTGAAGAGCCTAACAAGAGAGGGCACTCCAGCTTTTTCAAGAAATGCTGTAGACTTGTTTCTTCCCACACACCCCTGCTGGACCAAGCTTTCTGATTTAAAAAGATGTGACATTTTTATGTATTGTACTGTAGGACATTCTACAGAAATATTAAACTTATTTATCATTGATTTTTCTTTCTGTGCAGTTATGTTCATTACAATAAAAGTCTATCACTTATAGATGGGGGCACAAATGCACTCATAATTTAAAATGAAAAAAACAACTTAAATTTAAGCAGCTGTTTCAGTCCTATAAGGAGCGAGAAACAGATTTTTATCAGCACTTTTTAGAATGCATGTCTTTGCTCTAGTGACTGAGATGGATGTCCCCATGTTTGCTGCAAAATTCTTACCACATTCGGGTACGTGACTCTTGGTTCTGGGGCCAGGCCCAAGATGCGTCCCACATCTCCTTTGTAGCCGTATTGTCTAACCACAGGAGGGAACTCTTCCCTGTATTTCAGGAGCTGAGTGTGGTCTACAAAAATTAAATAGAGCATGGGTTGTGCAAGAATCAGGATGCTTGTTTATTGTTTTGTTTTGTTTTTTCCTGGATTTCAGACGTTATATGTGAGCGGAATGCTGACGTCACTGATTTGCCTCAGAAATCTAAGGCAGCTGAGGGTTTTCCCCTCAGGCTTTCATGCTCTGATTTTAAAAATCCTTTAAAAATAGTTTATTTGGGATTCATGACTTAATAGACTTCAAAAGCCTGTAGAGGTTGTGTCATTGCTATACGCTACAAGTATTTAAACATCTGTGGTTCTATAATTTCCCCTAGTGCCTAAGAGTACCTCTGCTTTGGTGAACTCTCATCTCCCATTTAGATAATTTGGCTGCCGTTGCTAAGAGACAATGCTTACCTTGGTTCATTGTGAGCCCTGTCACAAACGGCATTAGGCCTCCTATTTTTCCTAAGCAAGTTATTTAAAAAATGCCATGAGGCATTTCATTCAGTTGGATGATTTATTCAGCCTCACAATTTGGTGCTTTGACAGGTCAGCACTGAATTATTAATTGCATTTTCTATTTGTAAACTAAAAGATTTTTAGACTTGCAAAACTCACTCTTCAGTTTCAAGTTTATTTACTTAACTCATACTAAGTTTCAAATTCATAAAATAATATAAGTCTATGAAAAATCTTCCTTTTCAGTGGTCATGATGGAGGAACTTAAAGATGCTACAGTTAAACAAATAGAACTTGTATTATGATTTGGATAAATGAAACACAACTATATAAGCTTTTACGAAACTTCAGGCACAAAGAATTTATTTTCTCTTAAGATGTTTTCTGTTACTGAAAATAAAATCTAGGATATTTTCTCTGCAGACGTCTTAGTAGTGTCATTAATACAACGCCACAATTCCAACCAGCACCAGACACTGCTGGCAATTTCTTAGTTGTATGTTTCTCAGAGCAGAAACCATCTTTCAGCCACTGAAAACCACCTTGTACTTACATAGCTGCTGTTCCTGTTGTACTGATGAACAACAACAAAATAAAGTGTTGGGTAGTAACAGTTTGTGATAAACATGTAGAGTAGGAATCTGGTTACCCTAAGAATCACTTTCATCATTTCCTTCTCAACGCAATTCCTTCACATTAATAGTTCCATTGAAGAGTTGAATATCTTGTTTTAAGATATGCAGGCAGTCTTTCGTGTTGTGGCTTCTAGATACTTATCTAGTACAAATAAATGAAACAACAAGGATGATTTTCACAATTCCTTTTGAATAGTCCACTTTTGGAGCAAGCGCAGTAGACCACAGCAGAATGTTTGAAGCAAATAGTAAGTATTTTACATTTTAAACTTTGCCTCACAATGACTGCATTTCTCCTCCCTCCACCTTTGAGATACCTACCCAATGCAACTTAAAGGTCCTTTAAATTATTTGGAGTTATTTGTTAAAGGCATTGCGTTCATCTGACTTAACATGAAGCTAACAGGCTCAATAAACACTTGAAATGGCTAAAAGCAAGTGGTACGCCAAGGCCATGCTCCAAAAAAGAGCTATGGTCAAACAGCTTTAC